CCCCCCCCCCCCCCCCACCCCCACCCACCCCCCTCCAGCCTCCACCATCATACCCTCCGCCTCCCACCCCATCTCCCACCGTCACACCCTCCGCCTCACCCCATCCCCAACCATCACCCTACAGCCTCCACCATCACACCCTCCGCCTCCCACCCCATCTCCCACCGTCACACCCTCCGCCTCTCACCCCCCCCCCATCTCCCACCGTCACACCCTCCGCCTCACCCCATCCCAAACCATCATCCTACAGCCTCCACCATCACACCCTCCGCCTCCCACCCCATCTCCCACCATCACACCCTACAGCTTCCCACCCCATCTCCCACTGTCACACCCTTTGCCTCTCACCCCATCCCCAACCATCACCCTACAGCCTCCACCATCACACCCTCTGCCTCCCACCCCATCTCCCACCATCACACCCTACAGCTTCCCACCCCATCTCCCACTGTCACACCCTTTGCCTCTCACCCCATCCCCAACCATCATCCTACAGCCTCCACCATCACACCCTCCGCCTCCCACCTCATTTCCCACCATCACACCCTACAGCCTCCCACCCCATCTCCCACCATCACACCCTACAGCTTCCCACCCCATCTCCCACTGTCACACCCTTTGCCTCTCACCCCATCCCCAACCATCACCCTACAGCCTCCACCATCACACCCTCTGCATCCCACCCCATCTCCCACGTCGCACCCTGCAGCCCTCAACTTCCACCTCATCTCCCACTGTCCCTCTACAGTCCCCTCCTGCCGCCCCATCTCCCACCATCTTCCATTGTCACCCCACAGCCCCCTTCCTCATCCCATCTCCCACCATCACAGCCTACAGCCACCACCCGTCCCCGAGCTCCATCAAACCCTACACCTGGCTTCCACCCCTTCTCCCACCATCACACCCTAGAGCCCCCTCCTACCACCTCATCTCCCACTATCATATCCTACAGCTGCCTACCACCACCACTTTTCCTCCGTCACACCCTACACCCCACCACCACAGAATCTCACCATCACACCCATAGTCCTTTCTTGCCCCCCCATCTCCCACTATCACCATAGAGCCACCTCTATCCACCCCATCTCACACTGTCACACCATACAGGTGCCTCTTTCCACCCTGTCTCCCACTGTTGCCCTACAACTCCCTTCTTCAGCCCCGTCTCCCACCATCACACCCTACAGCCCCCTCCTTCCATCCTCATCTCTCTCCATCGCAGCCTACACCTCACTTCCACCCCATCTCCCACCATCACACCCTACAGCCATCTTCCATCATCTCCCACTGTCACACCCTATAGCGCCCTCCTTCCATCCTCATCTCTCACCATCACACCCTACACCTCATTTCCCACCATCACCCTACAGTGCCTTCCAACCCCATCTCCCACCGTCACACCTTACAGTCTCCTCCTGCCACCCCATCTTCCACCATCACACCCTACAACCACCTCCCACCCTAATCTTCGACTGTCACACCCTACAGCGCCCTCCTTCCACCCCATCTCACACCTTACAGCCACTTCCTTCCACCGCATCTCCTACACTCACAACCTACAGCCACCACTTGCCCCCGATTTCCCACCATCACACCCTATAGCTGCCTCCTTCCATCTACAGCCCTCGCCATCCCCTCAGGTCTGCCTCCTTGCCACCTGCCATCTCCCTGTGCCCCTCCTCTCTCCCCATCCCTCCCTGCCATGGCTCCTCATCTACAGCCCTCCCCATCCCCTCAGGTCTCTGTGCCTCCCCATTCTGGCCTTCACTCTCTCCATCTCCGCCCCATTCCCCAGCCCCAGGGCATTTCCTGGCCTCAGTCTCACTTGACTCCACCTCTTGCCCCCCTCAACGCCTGCCCCCCCCCCCCCCCCCACGCCTGCATGTGTCTGCCATCCTCCCTCTGCCTGTGCTTCTCAGCCCGTCTGCACCCAGCCTCTCCCCCGCCCTGCCCCCGCCATTCCCCAGCGTGCTTTTCCTCTGCCCAGCCTGCCCTGCTGGACTCCCCCATCCCTCCTCCTCTCCTTTCTCTCCCTACTCACCCCTACCCTCTTCTGTTGT